TTCTATCTGTATTGATATAGAACGTTTTTATCCACTAGCATTAAGAAATCATTTCTATGAGAATTAATTTGTAATGAACATTTCAATGGGTCATGTACATTTTCCGCAAGGATGGTAAACAGTATATAATCCATTGAAATGAGCTGGGAAAATATGAAAATATTTTGGCACTATTTCAAAATAAAAACACAAATAAAACCGGTTAAGTGAACCCATTAACTTGCAAATATGAAATGGTTGTACAAAATAACTTTGAAGCTATGAGCTACTGTAAGCATGATGCAAATATTGATTTTTACTTTGGAAGAAATGAGTGCATAGTGAATATTTAATACTAGAAAGATTGATACAAAACACTGATTCTAAAATGTCTAGTGAATTAAAACTATTTAACAGCAATCAGCATACATACCAACTAGGCAATAAAAACAGCCTACCAATATGTTCATCTTTGCACAGATGTTATTTAATTTGTCAAAAGGAAAACATCAACTTTTTATTTGCTTTGATATTCCTTCATAGATACTACATTAGAGAAAATGTCAGCTCAGAGTCCACCGATCTCTGAAAATAGATGATGTTCTACTTATTTGGGTTTCTTACTATTTCAGGGGGAGAAAGGCGAGAGGAAGAGAAAGAGAAATGTTTAAAATGACTAGAACTATTTCCTCAAACACTGTAAGATCTAGTTCTTGTTTGCCCAACACTAAAATATAACCCATCCTTTTATATTCTTTGGTGATGTTTTTGTTTTCTGCTCACTTGAAAAATAGATCCAATCAAACACATCTGAAATTTTGAAAAGGAGGAGAGACTGGCAGAGTAATTATTTACTATCCTGTGCTTTAACAGAAAAAATACTTTAAAGACAGTCCCAAAGCCTTATTTTTTAAAAATGGATTGCTTATGAGTAATCAATATCCACAAACAAGGTACAAAGCTTGCCTTTGCTCATGCAGTGTATGTTCTTTGACTTTCAATGGTTGAGATACAGGAAGATACCCTTATCCTAAGAAATATAAAAGGTGTAAAGCAGGAATTAGCTGCTGAAGATGAGTACTGGTAAGCCCTACAACTTCAAAGGGGAAAACTGACTTGACTCAATTGCTTATAGATTCCCAGTGCCAATGTAAAAGTATGAATATACTTTTATAATAAGAGTATCAGTAAGATAGAGGGTCTCAGCTGTCTACTCCAAAGTACAGAGTATATGATAGTGGGAGCCATGGAAAATAAGAAAGTAGGTAAATAATCAGTAGTAAGGCAAAGGAAAAGATGAGAAGTCCTGGAGACAGAAAGAGAATAAATTTGGATACCACTCTTGGTGTCCTACAAGGCAAAAATGCTATGTCAGTGGGTATTAGAATATTATTGTTATTCTGTAGCATCAAAAGTTTATCAATAGTTAGGAAGGGAAGCACAACACAAGGATGACATTTGAGTTGGGAATTATGTGGCATATGTACAATGTTATTGAGAGCAACCTCTTCAGAGAAGTATGATCCCAGCTTCTGAGGAAATAAGATAAATCATTTTTGAAAAACATCTAATAAACAGGCCTTTTAAAAATGCTTAGAGAAAATACATAAGATATTGTGCAATTCCACTAAGTGTCAATTTTTAAAAAATGAACAAAATACTATAAGGTAATTCAAGAGATTTTCTTTAAGCTGGGTTATTCATTGTGTGAGCTTTGCCTACATATTTCATTTCACGGCTGGAGAGGAGATAGCCAAAAGAAGCACATAATTGAACTAACTTGGGCGGAACCCACAGGTGAAACAGAACAGAATTTTGCCCAGCATAGCAGATATAGCAGAAAAGGAAAAGCTGGTTTCCCAGTAGTATTATAGAGTGAGCCATACACGATCTATCAATTGGGTCACAGTTTGCACAGCCCACAACATCAATTTTTAGGAGCAGAAAAATAGAGAACAGTTCCATATAAAACGATCAAAATGCAAAGAAAAAATCTTCAATTTTTTGTGGCATAAAACATACTTCTTAGAAAAAATATATCTCCAGTTTGTGGCAAAGTTCTGTCAGGTCTAAATTCTTCAATTTTCACTGAAGCTTTTTCTCTTAAGCATTAAATTTGTTTCTCAAAAAAATCAGACATATTTTAACTGACAACAGGTCAGCCCTTCTCTCACCAAATAATATTCTTATTTCATTTTTGCTTCTTTCATTGCACCATCTTCACTGTCATTTCTAAATGCACAGTACTTCACTTAGCTTTACTTATATTGTTTAAAGAGAGCTATTCACAGCATGCTTTGAAAAAACTTGCCTATGGAAATCTGAGAATTTCAGTGTTGTTACTGCAGGCCAGATGTTAAGGACTCAAACGGTATTGAAGTTCTTCCTCTTAGGTGTACTTGAATGGACCAATGTAATAAAAGAATCCGATTAGAAACAGTTCCATTGTTTTTCTGGAAATTTTGAGCCTGTGACCTTTACAAAGAAATATCTGAAAACATGTTCCTATCAAATGACGACAACATAAAACTATGGTCTTGTCAGCGAAGAAAACCCATAAAAGTAAAAGAAAAGCATCATCAGAACAGGCTAACAACTCAAACACAGCAACTTATTTACCACAAATGCCAAAATTTAAAAGCATACTCAGATACTCAGACTGCTGATGTTTTTTCAGAGAAGTTCACATTTTTCTCTTGTTTCGTACTCAAGGAGCAGCAATATATTGGTCTATAAACAATTAAACCATTGTACCATTACAGAGCCTTTTGACATGGCCAAACAGTATACTACCTTTAAATTAATACAAGCCTAGCTAATTCATTATAAATTGAATGGTAGAGATTAAGTCTTGGAAAAGTGAGGTTTGATTAGCCAAACCAAGATTACAGTGGTTTTCCTTACAGTAAGGCTGTCCCCTACATGCAGCAATACCACACTTCAAGCTATTATAAAGTACCCTGGCTCTCCTTTTTTTTTTTTTTACATTCATCTGAGTTCCTTCATCACAATATTCATTTCACTCAAAAATACAAACTCTTTTACTTTTAAAAACAACAGTAATGAAAGCCAGGGCTATGTTCCTAAACATTTAGGGATTCATTCGAGACCAAAAAGGTATATGCTGATGAATACAGTCTGTAGTACCTCAGTGTCATGTTAAAATTACAACAGTCTTCAACAATTGAAAAAGTACTAAGGACTGTCCCCAGTCCTTCAACATCAGTTGAAGGAAAGAACAGAATAAAAAGCTTGCGCTCATGAATAACTGATTAACATCATCAGTGATCTATAGTTGCTTCATATTCAGCAGGTAATGACCTATGAACTGTAAATCATGTAACTTCACAGATTTTGTGCATTTTTGCTCCCTATCCATAATCAATAATTTAAAATTAATTCAAGTCTTCTTCAGAAGGTTCCTATTACTCTTCTCTAGTTTAAGTCGTGGACACCTCTATCGGAACAAGTATTTCAAAACTTGGTAAATTAAACATTCCTGTGGTCTCAATCTCCAAATTAACAATTTCTAACCAGACAGAGGTCTGTGACTGTTTAACGTCCTTAAAAAATATGAGCAAACATGTTAAAATAATTTTCAGTGCTTTTACGGGTCGTACTTTCATATTAGGAAGAACTGGGGATTTTCTCAAAAGAAGACTCTGTGGGTTAAAACAAAATTCTGAAAGATCTTCCCACACAGTGGGAACAAAGAGCATTGCAGGTGTATTGAAACTGACTGCAATTAGAAAATCAAAGATTGTAATATTCTGAGACAAGAAAGTAAAAGAAAAATGGCATATCATTTACCAGATTCTATTTTTTCCAGGGAAGGTATTAATACTAAGCAAAGCTTAAAATGACATTCAGAAATATTTTTTAAAAGTATGGAAGTAATCAAGAAGCTGTCAACATTTTTTGTAATGGGTTTATATGTAAACTGTTCAGAAATATTGTTTACAAGATTTAAAGAAAGGAAATACGAAAACCAAAATCTCTTTGAATAGATTCCCATTTGAAGGGCAGGTTACCAATTTAATTCAGTCAAAGTTGCATCTCCACTTCAAGAAAAATAGTTATAAAAAACAAAAGACAATGAATGAAATGAAAAAATTTCAATAGTTCAAAGTGATGTGGTAAAAAGGGCTAATATAAAGTTAGGTAGATCAAGAACCATTTTTTGAAACAGTATTTGAAGTGGACACAGAAAGCTGATGGTGTCATTTGCCTGTATTTTTCTAATTGGCAGCTGATCACCTTCCTTCACTCGGAAGATAATATCAGATAAATGCCCATGCTGGCAAATTAAGTAGCTCACATTTAACTCTGTAAGGAAAATTCACTTCTATTTAATAAGCAATGTCACTTGTTTTCTGCTAGTATACAGCAACTTTCCTGAATGGTAATGTCATGGGGAGGAGGCACCAGGTGTAATTGTTTGTAGTTGATGCATTCCTATTTATGGTTCTCACCATCCTTTAAAATACCTCAGGAAATAGTTTATTTGCCTACTATAACATGTGATCTGTTTTGTGCACATTTTTCAACACCCAGATGGTAGAGATTACCATATGACAAGCAGGTCATTCATCATTTTACTTCTATAAATAATTTCGTGAGGTGAAAATACATAATAAAAAACCCTCAGGATATATACTGAGGGATGTTCCAGTTTCTTTAGCTTTTAGCACCTTCCTCACCAATATAGCTTCAGAAGTGAAGCTTTCACTGTTGACATACGTTAAGTTTGCTATTGTGCTTTTGGGGATAGTAGGTTCAAATCTTTTCTAACAACAAAGGTTGCTTGCAAAGGCTGTAAACAATATTAATCAATTGCCATTCACTAAAGTCAAAAGCAATAGGCCAATCTTGTTAAATATCATCTCATTTATTTATTCCTTACCCTGAAATAGTTTACTGTTCTGTAACCAGTAATAACATTCACAATCCAGATTTTGAACACATTTCCAAATATGAGAACATCTTAGATAACAAATAATATATGAAGCCTTGCTACTCACCAATTTTAATCTTTGCAAAGGTATTCTGCTTGTGTCTATTGGTGTACGTTCTGAGACATTACCAAATCGGACTTCTGGGATGGCAATTGCACAGATTACATGTGCCCACCTGTGAAAAATGGCAAGTTAAGAATACCACCAAAGAAACACATAGAAATATGAGTGTTAAGAAATACTGCAACCCTCAGTAATATATAACATCTACCTTTCATTATTTTCTTTTAAAATTTAAAATTATTTTATGTTTTGTATTTATTTAAAAGATAACTTCATGCAGCATTAGCAGTTATTTGAAATAGAGTCATTGCATTTCAGAGAAGAGAAGCTCAGCACAACAAATAAAATTTATTTTGTTAATAAATTAAATGCAATGAAATATACTAAAAGCCCTTCCCTTGCCAGCTATCAGTAACAGGCCACCAACTCCAGGAATTTTACTTCTTGCTCTTTCAAACATGTTTAAGAATCCTTACATTAATACAACTTAGTGTAAATATCATTGCACGCTGGGTTTCTATTATGTTTTTCAAGGCACCTGTTACCTTTGATTTATGAAGTGCAAAGCTTTTGTAGTTGTGCTATCCTTACGCATACAGAGCCCATGATATTTCATTTGTGAGCAATTTATCACCCACAGCACTTTGCGTTAACGGTAACTATTCTTAGATAGCACACGTGGTCACAGGGTCATGTATCTATCAAAGCATAATACACAGTATACTATCAAGACCTGCTATTTGCAGATGCAAAGGCATAGAAGCCACAGACTGATCAGGCTACCATTGAAATACCCAACACGAATCGGATCCCTGAGATCAGCAAAAGTGCCTGACAAGTGCCTAGGACCAGTGCTACATGCAAGACTTTCATCCAGCTTCAGGAGGCTTGTTAGATGAGTCAGGATTATGTTATGTGCTTTCTATTCTCATTAGGAAGCACTGCTATATTTTCTAAATATAAAAAGAGAAAGAGAAAGAAAAAGCAAAAGCCAAAGAAAAAGAAAAAGTAAAAAAGCAAAAGCAAAAGTGAAAAAGTGAAAAAGTGAAAAAGTGAAAAAGTGAAAAAGAAAATGGAAAAGGAAAGGGCAAGGGCAAGGGCAGGGGCAAGGGCAGGGGCAAGGGCAAGGGCAAGAAACCCTGTACTAAACTAAAAAAAAGGCAACGAAATAATTAATGTTTTAAAGCATATCTTAAATTATATTAACTAAAAGTAAAAGCCAAGATAATAGCACTTTTATTTTAAAAAGTAGCTTTCTGAGGCTACATTTAAAATTGGGGTGGGAGGGAGGCAAATAACAAGACAGAAATGAACTCCCTGAGATCTGAATAAAGGGGACATTTCCATTCCTTAACTCTAGTATTTGCTTTATGCACGATCCCTCGCTGTACATCTTGCCTCATTACTCCATTTGTTCATTTTTCCAAGCTCCCTATCCTTGCCTCACTCCACCTGCTGTAAGTCTGCAGAGACATATATGACATAAACATCCTAGCAAATCAACAGGAATGGGGCTGGAGTCAAAAGGGAAAAAAGGTAACACAGCAAAGTAGAAATCATTTCTCTTTCCGGCACTACAGAGTGGTGCTATTTCAACCACTCATATTCGACCAAAATACCTCTAAGAGTACATAATAAGAAATATATGGAGTAGGCAAACTGCTGTCATGTGTTGCAGTTGTACTAGCCAAAGTCTGATATGAAAGCTGTGTGCAAAGATGACAGTAACTATTAGCAAGTTATACTGTCCTACCAAATGAAAGCAGATAGAACTTGCAGTTTTATTATTCCATTATTTTTTTCTCCAACTTAGGGAAAAAATCTTGCTTAGAGATTTTTATCTGTTACTGTTAATAACACTGTTCCTTTTCATTACTGTCTTCCTGCATACAAAACTATAGTGCCCTAATACCAAGTGTCTTACCACTGAAGCTTTACAGGGGACAGAAATGTTATTAAAAAAAAATAGCTCTTCAATCTATCTTCATTTCAAGCTTTTACGGAACTGGTATCTCTCAAACTACCAGGACTCAGAACAAGTGCTGTGTCCCATGGAAGAAAGAATCTCAGCTCTCCAATGCGCCAAAACTGTTACCCCCAGCCACTTTTGATTCATTAGCTTTTAACTGCCAATCCTGCATCTTTAATCAGTGTAGGAGACTGGACGGAGGGAGAGAGAGAGAGGAGAACGGAACATATACGTCGGATTTTACACTTCTGGGGAAAAAAAGATGTAATGACAACGCACTCTTCTGAAAACTCTCAAAAGTTTGGAACAGTAGGTAATGCTTAAAGATGTATGAAGGTCTGAATTAAGTGCAGGGAGTCAGTGTTGCAGAGCAACTGTAATGTGTTATGGAAACAGGAAGCATGAGTAGAAATACTTCTACAGAACTCTCATTTCAGAAATCTGTAACAGAAACCTACAGAGGGATGTCATGCAAAAGACTTTCAGCATAATTATGCAGAGAAAGTTATTGGCTTCAACCTCTCTGGGTTTTTTTTTTCTATGAATAAATCTTATGAAACATATTTCTGAAATATTAGGTAATTCATAAAAAAGATGTATGGTTTTTCACCCACGTATAGTGATTAGATATACGGGTTCACCATCCAACGTCGGCAGCAAGCATCAAAAGGAGAACGCTAAATTCTACTTAGATGACCCCTCCTTGATTTTATTTTCTTTTAATGAGACAAGTAAGTAGTAAATAATGATTTATGGGAGTTTAAACTAGAACTGAAAACCAGTTGAATATGCTCACAGCTGGTCAAAATAATCTTTAATTCAGTAACAATGCTTTTGAAGACAAGATCTGGCTCATAGGTTTCAAGTAAAACCTTCAATTCACTGGACAATTTACAAGACTCATGCAACCATTGGCCAATCACTGACATATCAGTTACTCTAGGTAAGTGGAAATGGATATTGCTGGTAGGTGATCTCATATCACTGAACTCAGTTCTCAGTGCATTCCAAAGGGTTAAAGAAAGAGCATTTATTTAATTATGCAAGATCCTGCATGCATAAAGTCTGTTTCATTATTGCACCTGAACAAATATTAAGCTGCAACATTTCCCATTTTATCTTTTAAAGTTATTTGATGTACTATACTATTATCAAAATGCATAAGAAAACCATTGTTTCTATTAACAGTAAGATGTCAGCAACAATGCTACTTTTAAGAGTGTGTGATAAAAATATATTAAAAAAACACTTCAAATTCAGAGTCATTTTAATATGATTCAGGTAAATTAATTAAAAATATTTGTTTCTAACAAAAGTTCAAAGCTATTATATTAAATTCCATAATCGCAAATTTTCAGGACTAAAGAAGAAAATATACTTCACTGTTTGATAAGACTTGCCCATGCAAACAATCCCAAATGAGTTCTCATTTGTTTTCTTTAAAGACTGATCAATAGAATGGAATCTGGAACAAGTAAGTGTATGCAAATAATAAAACAAATGTACATTTTAGCATCTAACTATTTTCACAAAACGCCAGTGGCACATTCAACAGGAATAAATTTAATTTTGCAATAATCAACTTAAAGGGACACTGTCAAGTAATGATATTTACAAATGTTCTCTACATGAGAATGGATTGAGAATAAAGTTTAAAATAAGTATGGCCAATCTTAAAGTATATAGTACTTACTTCTTGTCAGTAGTTTCCTTTAACGCGCCACCTCTTAAATTGCAGAGACAACATTCCTAAAAATAGAAGTGTGTAGAAACAAGTTAGAAAGAAGTTAGCTTAACTGACTGGTTGCAATCAGTTTTATTCAGCTGATATTAAGGATACGTAAATAGTTAATGCTATTAGTTACTAGCTTACAACCTGCCATTTATAAGCATTACATTTCCTTATAGGAAGAATATAAAAATATAATAACAAAAAGAGTAATAACTCAAAAGATCTAAAGAAAAATAAATTTTAAGTACTACCCTTGAACACACAGAATCACTGAAGAACACAACAAGTGAAAAGGTATTCAGTCAGTGCAGCAATAGAAAGGCTGGAACAACCATGCAGCGTACTAAGTTAAAATTAATTAAAATGATATATAATTAGCTGAATAAAAATCACTGGGAAATCTTTGACTTATATACACTCAAATCAAAATACCTTGAATTCCTGACAGTTCTCCAATTTATAAACCTACAGGGCAGGTTGTGATTTATTTTTCTGCAAAAATTCCCTTTGCTGTGCAATGACTTCACTGCCTTGATCTTCAGTCCAGCTCCACCTGCTTTCAGGGTACTCAGCAAGGCATACTTCAGTGGTCCCCACAGAAAATGTCAAAGGAGGGCTTTTCCACACCTACTTAAAACTATGCCCTTGAACAGATGAACAGTTTTATTTATTTTCCAGCCTTCCTCTCTCTCTTCATAGCCTCCTTTTCTGACTATGTCTTTCCACTTTTCCTTCTCCTCGTCCTTTTATCGGGAGGGATGAGAAAGTCATTGTTCATTGTTACTTATTTTTCTTGACTTAGCCATTTTGCTGGTCTCTACAAAGAACAACATGCACAAATGAAGTCAAGACACCCTGCACCCTTACATCTATACTGAAAGAGAGAGGCTGTCTCCAGAACCTCTAAGTTTAAATTGCTCTTGCAGTAGCAAAAAAAAAAAAAAAAAAAATCACAGAATAGTTACGTAAGCTCCAGTCCCCAGTGCCAGGCTGGATTATCCATAACTTATCCATACATTATTTCCAATACATTTTTCTTATCTCATCTTAAAGCCTCCAACAATGGCGATCACCAGTGTCTGCTAGAAATCTAACTAAATGCTTTACTACATTTCCTATGAGAAAGACCTTTCCCAACATCAATTTATCTCCTTGCAACAAATGAATATTCCTTGCAGTTTAAGTACATAACTTTTTGTCTGATCTGCCAAATATAAGAATAGATAACTCCTTCTCTCTGTACTGTAAGAGTACAGTGCCTTGGAATGGGACCCAATGTGTTCCAGATCACAGTTCCCAGTACATAATGTCTATTAAGACAGGAAATTCAATGGCTCAAAATATCACTTCTTTCAGACGTTCAAAGTGGAGTAAGCAGGAACAGGTAGGTTAAGCAAATAAAGGCGAAAAATGGAATATATTGCAGCAGTGAGTGCTTCAACCTGTACCGCTTGCAACTTTTCAACAGAGAAAACAGCTCCAAAAAAATCCACAGGATTTTTCCATTTGGCTATTGGAGAATAAGTTTCTTCCAGAACTGACATTTTTACTCCAGTAGCTGTACCTCTGTGAGTGAGGTTCTCTCACCAGATCTGATGAAACCTGCTCTTGTACCAAGCCTACCACAAGAAGGCAACCCTCTGTTTCACAGCGGGGTGGAGAAGAAGAGATGGATGGAGGGAGGGAAGGAAGGGAGGGAAGGAGATGGAGTTATTTCTCCTCTTCCTCCCTCAAGTTCCCAGCTTATTCATGGTGAAGCGGAACAGCAAGGAACCAAAATTACTCTAAAATTACTTGGCTGACTTCTCTGTATGAGCAGAGGCAAAGAGATCAAGAAAACAAACTTCCTGCAATTCTAGGTTCACATGCGAAATACAACTGGTCTAATGTACCACTTCCTGTTTTAGTATCACATCATAATTCTGTGATGCTGTTGAACTACTGAACACACTGCCCCCTTTCTTTCCTTTGTAACATTTGGAGATTTTCCTGATATCCTACCCTCTTGCTATACTTTTCCCCAAGTTACTAGATTCCCTCAAAGCCATATCTTCAAATTGTTTACTACGTTTGCTGCCCTTCTTTGGATGTCATTAGAATAATGAGGTGCTGCCATTCACACATCCTGTGGAGAACCACTACTACCTTTTCCTGAATATGATATTTTGGTTTCACAAGCAATAGCCAAGTGGAGAAGTTACTGAAGCACAGGGAGGGTGAGGTAAAAACTTTCCTAAATTAGATACTAAGTAATCACATTGTTAAGACTTTGTACACTTTAATTCACTTCATGATGAACTGATTCTGACAAAATATGAGAAAAATTCCCCTAAACAGATGAAGGGCATAGAGCACTGTTCCCAGGAAAGTACCACTAAAGTCATGGGAAATTTGAAGTCTTGAGATCACGCCAGATAGAGAAAACTTTGTGTTTCATCTTTCAAGGTCCTCTAAGTGAAAAGATGACTTTTAAGTAGTAAAAAAATTGTCTCTGTGCTGCAAGAAATGCAAAAACAAAGTGAAGATTTCATTCCACTTGGACATTCAGTTCCCAAAGGCAAGCACTTACACATGAAATCTGTGGCATGAAACACCCTGGACTTCACACCTACCCGGGAATCCAAAGGACTGCCTTAGCATGACCATGGAGTAACCATCCAACACGGCATCCTCTCCAGTCTTATTTACCGTTCCTAGAACCTTGCTTAGAGATTATCAGAGGAGAGATCAGCTCTTCCTCTGCTCTTCCCTTGATTGACTTTGACACTCTGAATGAATAGGTCATGTTTTCTGCTACCAGCTTTTTTTATCTTTATAGAGCTTGCCCACCATTGTAATGAGACCTACTGATTAAAAGAATGCTCTAGTCTAAGTTATTCATTTTATACATGACTGTAAGAGATAAAAACAATAAAAGTGGATAGGAGGCTCCTCTTAGACCACATGAGAGCAACAAAATGAGTCAAGTGGCATATAAGATAATACCCAAAATGGAACAGACAGACAGGAAGAAGCAAATATCAAAATCTCCTGCAAAAGGACCTGTGCAGGACTTCTTGCAGGCTGATTCCCAACTCATTTGCAGATCTGCAGGAACTTGAAGCTTATAATGTAGAGATAGAATAACACCTGAAGGCTGGGGAAGAGAGAAAAAGTCTGATTCAATAGAAATTTTTGTGGGAGAAAGAACCACTCATGCAGCCAATTGAAATTTAAAAGCTCAGTGGCTCCTCTACTTTCTTCTTTTTAATTAAAGCATTTTCTTCACGTTTGCCATAAAAATCCTTTAATTGACTGCTTCTCTATTTCACAGAATAACAGTAGTTTTGCCCCTAATTTATCAGCTTTCGTGTTCTTATTCCAAGTTACTTTGAATTTCAATATCCGAATAATGATGAACTTTTTTTTGTTTGTAATAAGTGTTTCTGACTTTTAAGGAAAAGCTTAGTCTAATCCCTTGCTGTGTAATTTGTTGAGGCAATTAGATGGAGTCCAAAGCCCCAAAAAGTTCCACAAATAAATTAAGCTAAAGTAACATAGGAAAAAATTCCATATAAGATGTTACTAATAAATTTCTTCTGCAGGTTTCCCATCTCTTAACCACTGTAAAAATAAAGAATTAAGAATTATACACTGCAAGAGACATTAGGCATAATCCTCACTCACTAACTGCAAAGCTATCACACTAGGTTTAAAAAAAAAAGCCAGAAAAAAGGGAGAGTGGCTCTAAACATCCTCAGTGCCACCTAGAGAAATAATTTTCCCTATGCAAGAACTTCAGGAACTAAATTTATGATTCCTTTTAAATGAGAGCCTACACAAATCTCTACCAGGCAGTAGAGAAAGTCTTCTGTCTGCTGGATATAGATATAACTCAGGCCCTAAGAACTACAAAATTTCAGCAGTGTTCATAGCAAACCTGAGTGGGAAGGTGGACAGACTAAAAGCCCATCAGATCCATTCCTCAGCTCATGCCTGCATTATAGAATATTCTCCTACATCTACCTGAAATGGCTGTTACTTTACCTCCAACTTAACCACGCTGCAGACAATGAAACACAGGGAAACTAATAACTAGGAAGGGTAACATTTAAATTAAAAGCTGATGAATACAGTAGTTCTTAGTACAGGTACCCCTGCCATGGACAACAGTTAAATCAGATGTACGTTAGCAGTTGTTACCAATACCCTTACAGAAAAAGACAGTATTTGTACATTCATGTTTGCCTTCCGTCTGTAGCTAAAAATCAGAATAGACTTCATTACAGAGCATCATCTTTGAACTTATCCAATCTCTTATTTACTATTCCTTCCCAAATCCTTTAAACAAATAACTTTCTTTCATTGGTATTCACACTAAATAATTATTTATTTTTAAATATATTATTTTAGATTTATCTAAATTATATCTTAGATCATTTTAAATCATTGATTTGCTTAAAAATCTCTAGAACATTCTAGAATTAAAAAAGAAAACTCTTTCTTCCAGTACCCATATAAAATAAGCTATTTCCATATAATGTACAAGCATTATCATATTAGTGCTCACTTCGTCTTTCATTTTAGTCAAGACAATACCTTTTCTGTCGACAAAAGAGATCGTAATTGTGGTTCCTGGACTGAACGCTTCACCTCGCTTACAATGATACAGTCAGTTTCGCAACTAGCATTCCTACTCTGGTTTATTTTTCACTTCTGTGTTACAGCCACTATTAGGAATTGCAGGAAAAGCCTGAAGTCAATGTGAATTAATCATGCTTCCTTCAATACATACATCCAAAAGACAGATCACATTGTCAGAATGATATGCCATTACTCAGCTGTAGCTGTATATTAATTATTGTTGCATGGATGAATATCACAAAAAAGCCTGATCATACCTTCTTTTACTTTAAAATGAATATATTTGGTTGTCCCTGAGTACCTTTTACACTCTGCCAAAATTCAGCGTCACATTGACAGCAATCCTCATAAAAAGCAGTTTTTACCATTTTGTACTTCCATACCTCACCTGGAA